TCCGGGCGCGCGGCAGGGCTCTGCCGGCCGCCCTGCGGGCCCTCCCTCCCCGTGGGCGGCTCCAGTCGGCGCGCCGGGATGTCTCGGGCATGCCTGGCGGGGCCGGCCACGCGCAGGGGGGGGGGGTGCAGTCGAACCGAGGCAGGAGATCGAGGTCGGTTCGGGGAGGGTGCCCTAATGTTTCGGGGGTGGACAGAACCCCCAACAGTGAAACGTCGATTAGTGAATTGTCCGTTTTCGGTTTTCGAGAGGGCGCCGTGGCCGTTATTTTCCAGGCTTGCGCCCGCCAGGTTTGGGCCCGAAGTCGTTTTCACTAAACCACGTTTTACTAAAGGGAGGTCTGTCCATCCCCGAATGTTCTTCGTGTCTGGTGGGCGTTCTTGTGCATCCTGGGGAGGGTGCCCTTGGTTGTTCTGCGTGTTCGGGCCAGCGGAGGGCCTCGTGTTCTCGGAGGCTGTGGTGCTGGCCCAGGTCCGACTGTGGGGGGAGGAGGGGGAAAGGCTTCCTAGAAGCACCCCTGCTTTTTAGAAGGCGCGGGCCTTCCCTGTAGATGCAGGGCCGGCGCCTTCTGAGAAGCCTCCCTCCCTCCTTCCCTCCCCCATACCCCACTGTGCGCGCCGCCAATGGGGTCCACTTGGCTGCAGGCATCCCTCGAGTTCTGAACCCCAGCCTGAACTGCAGGGGTGGGGCCCCCAAACGGTGCGGTGACCACACCGTGTGGTGAGTCGGTGAGGGTTCGGGGTCACCGCACGGTTTTGGGACTCGAGTCCCTCTCCGAGGGTGTCTCGGGCGACTGGAGCCTCCGGGGTCCCAAAACCGTACGGTTACGGACCGTGCGGTGAGTTCTCCTGGGGTTCCGAGGTCACCGCACGGTCTGTCACCGCACGGTTTTGGGATCCCCAAGGGAGGGTTTCCAGGAGTCGCGCAGCGGGGTCTCCTGGGGCTCCGAGGTCACCGCACGGTCTGTCACCGCACAGTTTTGGGGATCCCCGAGGGAGGGTTTCCACGAGTCGCGCAGCGGGGTCGTCGTCGCCGACAGGGAGGCGCACGCTGCCCGCACGAGGTCGCGCGTCGGCACCCTCGTCCCCAAGGAGGCGTGCCGCGCGGCGTGCGCAAGCCACCGCGTAAGGTCGCTGTGCCATCGCGCGTGAGAATATTCAAAAAGAGTCTAAACATAGTCTGGGTGCGATATTTGATAACTTGTTTGGCAATGTTTAAGTATGGTTTGGCATCTGCTATCTTTCGCCCAAGATCCGCCTGTGGGGGGACATGCCCGCCCTAATCGTAAGACTCTGTGTTTCTTCGTCGCCCGCTTGGCTGCAGGCAGCATTCGAATTCTGCCGCTGCTTCAGAGCCCTGGCCTGCAGGGGTGGGGCTCCCATGCAGTTGCCTGAGGGCCGGCTCCTCGGGTCGGCAACACCCCAACATACTTATACTATATGTGCGTCGCCCCCCCAGGGGCGACGCGCGCACCGAGAAATCTTATAGTATATGCGTCGTGGCGTGCGCTTTCTGGCCACACCGCTCGGGAAACGATATACTACAAGATGGGTATACTACATATTCGGGTCGGACGCGCGCCTCCAAGGAGGACACATAGTATTAGTATGTCTCTGTGCGTCCCATCGGGGGGGGGGTAGACGCGCGCACCGAGAAATCTTATAGTATATGCGTCGTGGCGTGCGCTTTCTGGCCACACCGCTCGGGAAACGATATACTACAAGATGGGTATACTACATATTCGGGTCGGACGCGCGCCTCCAAGGAGGACACATAGTATTAGTATGTCTCTGTGCGTCCCATCGGGGGGGGGGCGCCCGAGGACCTGGCGCAGGCGTTCCCGGGGCCTCCTCGAGCAGCAGGGTGAGGCAGAGAGAGTGGCGCGGCACGGGGGGGGCGGGGGGGCAGGAGCACAGAGCCAAGACGGCGGCTGTTCGCCGCTCCCGGCCTCGAGAGGCCCTCCCTGGGCCCCGGGACCGCTCACACACGACCCGGGATGAACAACGGGCCCTGTGGGGGGGGCTGGGACTGCGGGGGACGCCGCAGTGAGAAAATCAGGGCGTCGGATCTTCGGAGAGAGGAGTGCGGAGCTGGGGCGAGCGGGGGGGAGAGCAGAATGCGCAACCAACGTTTCGGCCCCGCCACGGGGGCATCGACCGGCGCGTCCCCAGACGTGGCCCCGGGGGCGCCCCCGGGTCCCGACGGCGTCTTGAGGCTACGTTCCCAGGGGCGTCCCGTGGCACGCCCCCTCGGGCAATGTCCCCAAGCACGTCCCCTGGGCGCGGCCCCGGACACGTCACTCAGGCGATCGCAAACGTGGATCAAGGGGCGTGGATTAGCGCCGGGTCCCGTTTCCATGGGAAGTCGCGGATGCCTGCACGCCGCCGAACGAGGCGGCACCGGCTGCACTTTGGGGAGGGCACCTCCCCCGATCCATGGATTTGGCGACCGCGCGCCAAATCCGTGGATCGCTAATCCATGTTTACGCGCCCCCGAATCACCAGGCACACGCACGTCCGCAGGCACGCCCCCAGGCAGTCGCACCCGCTGGACAGGGCGCCCCGACGCGTCCCCAAGAGCGCCCCCCCGGCACCGCTCCCAGGCTTCCCGTCGTGGTGTTTGCGTGTTGGGCCTCGCTCTCTCTCTTGAAGGCCTGTTCGGCCATCTTGGGGGCCCCCCTTAGCAGCCTTGGGGTGCTCTTCGGCCATCTCCTGGCCCATCGGGGGCCTCTTCGGCTGTCTTGGGCGGGTCTGGGGGCCCTCCTTGGGCGTCTTCGGAGCCTCGTGGGCCGTCCTGAGGCCATCTTGGATGCTATGGCGGCCCCCCTGGCGCGTCGGGGCCCTTCGCGAGCAGCACTGGAGGGCATCTTGGAAGCAACGGAGGGTGGAGTCGGAGGCTCCGACGGCCCAGGGGGAGCCCCGACGAGTTCCCGCACCCCTCCCCCGTCCCATCCCACGGGATTTTGGACCCCAGAGGAGGGGTAGAGTGTGTGGGGACAGCCGCATGCTCTCGCACGCCTTTTCGCCCCCGGCAAGAAGGGGAGGGCGGTGTTGTGCTGTGTTGGGGCAATTGCGTAGCATTCGGCTGACTTGAGTCCATCTTGCGCTCTGGCTAATATTAAGTCGGGCCTGTCCCTCTACAGGGGGGATATTCAAACATAGTCACAAACAATAGTCAGGGGATTAGTTTTTGAGTATGTTTGGGCATCTTTGGAATATGGTTTGAGTACTTTTATTTTTCGTCCAAAATCCCTCTGTAGGGGGACATGCCCGACTGAATTCTTGGGTCGTTCTTGGACTCCTCCTGACCTCTCTCTCTTGGGCAGACGTCGGGGCCTGAGAAACCCATTGGAGTCCAAGGCGAGACGGCCATCATCGTTAAGACTGCTCACTGGCATGGGCCTTCTGAGAGCCTCCCACGCGGGATTCTTCCGAGGTCTTCTGCCACACGTGAAGTGCATTGTGGTGCCTTTGGGCATCTGGGGGCCATCCTGAGCCCGGCCGACACCAGTGGCCCGCTCCCTCGCCGCTCTTAGAGGGCCTTCTTCGGAGCCATCTCGAGGCCATCTTGTGGGATTCTGCCTCCTCCTCCTCCCTCCTCCCTCCTCCATGCTCCCTCCTCCCTCCTCCCTCCTCCTTCCCCCATTGTCCCTCCTCCTCCCTCCTCCTCCTCGTCCTCCTCCTCCTCCTCCTCCTCCTCCTCCCTCCTTCCTCCTCCCTGCCTCCCTCCCCCTCTCGCAGCCATGTCAGAGTCCAAAGAAGACCGCGCTGCAGGCAGCAAGTCAAGTCAAATTCGGTCGAGGAGCCTATGAAGGCCTCTCGCTCCGTACGCGGAGACGGAGAGCGTGGGACAATACGGCAACAAACACGAGCAGTGTGCAAGAGATATTCAGCACACTCGGCGTCACTAAACAATTATTTAATCGCTTCGCTCATGCCGCCGGCCCTGGAGCCCTCTTTAGGGCCTCTTGGGGGCCTCTTGGGGACCTCTTGGGAGTCTCTTGGGGCTCCTTGGCGGCGTTTTGGAGGCCCCCAGGGCCTCTTGGGGGGCTCTTGGGGGTAGTCGATTGCGGCTCCCCCCTCGGAGGCCACGATCCTCGTGAGGGGTGTCGAAAAATACCCTCCCCTGGAGTGGTCTGGTGGCTTCTCCCGGGCTTCTCTCGGGACCTTGCCGGGGTACTTTTCGTCCGGGGGCCCCCAGGGGCCGCTCCGCGCGCGCGAACTAGAAATATTGTTAACAAGTTACCGGAGATCTTAGCACGCCTCTGGCCCGTTGGGCCGGCGAATAACCCTGAGGAGCAATTATCGACCGCCCCCCCCCTTCTGCGAAACTATACCGTCTTTCACCCCTGGAAGTTATACGCCGTCTTCAGACCCCTCAGCGCGGGAGCCCTTTACGATCCTAACATGTTCCACCAGGACGCTCCAGACGCTCCACATGAGGCGATCCACATGAACGACGGAAGAAGACGAAGACGGGGTCGACTCCGCGTGTAAGATTCCCGCGTAAGATTCCACATGAGCGACGGAAGAAGAAGAAGAAGAAGAAGAAAAATAAGAAGACGCCATCCGCGCGTAAGATTCCCGCGTAAGGCCGCGCATAAGCGCCGTCTTCTCCACGCGGTCCGCCACGATGGCGGCTCGCGTAAGGCGCGGCTTCAGGCCGCCATGCCGTCTCGCGTAATTAAGTCCGTTTGTCTTGCCTTCGTCGCCCACGGGTGTTGGAGAAGCGAGTCTTCCAACCGCTGCTGCCACGGGGATCGGCGGCGAGCGAGGGGGGGAAGTGAGAAGGAGAAAGACCTTCTCAGAAGGCTCGGAAGGTCCCTGGCCTTCTGGGAAGTTTCCCAGGCCTTCCCTAAAGGCACCGAATGCTCCTCAGAAGGCGCGAGGGCTTCTGAGCAGCCCCGCCGCCTTCGGAGAAGACCTTCTCCTTCTCCCCTCCCCCCCCCCTTGCTCGCCGCCGAGGGGAGCGCTCCGCTTGCCAGCACCACCCCGCGGCAGGCAGCAGCTGTCCCGCATGTTCCTCCGCTTCTTCCCGGGCCACGAGGAGTCCGCGGAGCAGTTCGCCGCCGTCTGCGAGGCGGCCCGCCGCCCACGCGCATGCGCGCGCCGGCGCCCGGCGAGCACCGCGCGGGCCGAGCAGCCGCGCGGAGGTCGGCGCGGCGTGCTCAGAGGCCGGCGCGGGGGCCCGCTTGCCCGGCGCGCCAGAGTGCAGTCGGGCATGGCCCTCTGAGGCAGGGAGAGCGTGCTCAAGAGTCGTAAAAACATGTCGGGGCACGTTTGTTCCTGCTCCTTTCTGATGTGTTGTCGATTCTGTTTCGCCGTTTCTTTCCTCCGAGTTTCGCCCACGGGAGGACATGCCCGACACAGCGCCAGAGAAGGGAGGTGCCCCGCGCCGATCCGGCAACATCCGGGGCTCGCGTCATGGTCGGGGGCTGCTCAAGGGGTGCCCCTGGCCCAAGGCGCCCCCAGCTGTTCTCTCCACTCTGGAGCCAGTGGGGCCCTCTGGGCCTCCCTAGAAACTTTGGGGGCACTGTGGGCCAGGGGCACTTCTGGCATCGCCCAAGCAAACTGATTCTATGTGTGCGTCGCCCCCCCAGGGGCGACGCGCGCACCGAGAAGTCTTACAGTTCATGCGTCGTGGAGGGCGCGTCCTGGCCACACCGCTCGGGCAACGATCTACTACCCGATGGGTGTATTAAATGTTCGGGTCGGACGCGCGCCCACAAGGAGGACATCTAGCACCAGTATGCCCCTGGGCTTCCCACAGCACCCGACACGGGGGGTCCGCCGATGTCCGCCGGCTTGCCCGGGGGTGTGGGAGCCAAGTGGGGCCGATGCCCCGTGCCCGCCCGCCACGGACCCGGAAGTGGCAGAGCGGTGGGCCGGGCGTCGCGACGGGTCCCTGGCCCAAGGTGCCCCACAAGATATCTACGGCCTCTTAGATCGGAGGTGGACAGACCTCCTACCCTGACACGTCGATTAAGGAATTGGCTGTTTTCGGTTCGCGAGAGGGCGTCGCGGCCGTCATTTTTGCGGGTCCAGGTCCGTCGGTTTCGGTCCCAGGCCGATTTCACTAAGGGGAGGTTTACTAAAGGGAGGCTTGTCCACCGCCGATTAGAGCACCCCTCGCGGGGCCCAGAGGGCCCGAGGGGCTCCAGAATTGCGCGAAAAGCTGGGGGCGCACCTTGGGCCAGGGGCACCTGTAGCACCCCCCGAGATGTGTTGGCCTGGGTTAGCGCGTGTCCAGAACATTGGCGCGGATTTGCGAAAGTTGATGGTTACGCAGCGCGGTCAAAAGACGTTGAAATGTGTCGACCCGAGTTCCGTTTCTTGTCCTCCCCTGTTCCTCTTTCTTCCTTTCTTTGTTCTTCCCTCCTCCCCTGCCCGCCCCTCCGGCCACTGAGCTGCGGCCTATTTCTGTTGGCCGGATCTTTTGTTTTGGCGTTGGCTTTGCAGGGTAATCCACAGGCACCGCCGAAGCTCGTTGTTATCGTCTTGTTATTCCTCATCCCCCTCTTGTCCCGAGCTGCGCAATTGCAGTACATTGTCCAGCCGTTTTTCGTCGTCGTGTGGCAGTCGGCGAGGGCAGATGCATCGCTGCGTAGGTGCGGCGTCCTGCCTGTGGGGCTTTCGGTGTACCTGTCTGCCCCGGGCGCCGCCGATCCCAAGAAGGCACGACCTCGGGGTCCACCCTCGCGAGCACGGTGCGGTAGCTATCGGACTGATCAGCGCGTGAGCCATCGGAGTCGTCCGCTCGGAGCATATAAGAAAGAAACGCTGAACTGTGGTGGGGCCTATTCGTAGGCCAGGCCCGCCGTGCCCGACAGAAGCTCCTTCGTCCCCTATCTGGCGCCCCCGATGGTGTCCCGACCACTGCAGGTTCCTTTTTGCGGATGGTGCTGTTCGCTCATCCTGGCCAGGGCGCTCCGCGGGACTGGCCTCGCATCCTCGAGGAGTCGAGTCGAGAGGACGACGCCTCGCCCTCGCCAGCAGGGGGGGGTGCAGCGGGAGGCGGCAGAAGCAGAGCAGGGGGGGGCGGCTCTGCCAGCGGCAGGAGAAGCTGCCCCCCATCCTGCCCCAGGAGTTGGAAGTCAGGCGTGTCCCTCTACAGGAGGAATTATTCAAACATAGTTACAAGAAGATCGTGCGGGGACGATTTCCCCACCGTTTTTGAGTATGTTTGAACATCCTTTTGATGTTTTACTTCTTCCTCCCAAATCCGCCTGTAGGAGGACACGCCCGACCTAACCTAAGACCAACAACCACGTACATCAAACCTCAGCGTGTGGAGATCCGCGCGGATCTCTGGGCTCGGCGCCTGGCCGCCCCCCCCCCCCCTTGGCGCTGCCCCAAGGCGCGCTCCCGCGCGCCAGGGAGGGGGAGGTCCGGCGCAGATCCAAGAAGTCTGCGTTGGGCTCCGGGAGGGCACGTTTCTTCCTTGGCGCCCCGCGTCATCTAATCTCCCTCCCCCCGGTGCCCCCGCGTCCCTCCCCTCTCTGCCCCCTCCTCCTCGGGGGGCGGCAAAGACGGGGGGGTGATGACTGCGGGGGGGTGGATCTCATGGCGTGGGCCATGATGTTTCCTCAGATTTCAGGGCACCTCTTCTTATTTCATGACGTCCCTGGCCCCACTCCTGGGCCGCGCACGTGCCGCCGGCCACGATTTGCGCCCCCCCCTCTTGGACGCCCCCCCTCTTGGCCGCCACCGATCCCCCATGCCCCCTCATCCCCAGCTCCTCCCTCCGCCCCCTCCTCCCATCCTCCTTGCCTCTGCCCTCTGCGTGCCCATCTCGGTGCACCCCTCACAAGTTTCGTAGCCCCGCACGGAGCTCAACGAAGGCCCCAGGGAGGGGGGGGGGGGGGCACATGCGGTTCCCCAGCCCCCCATTCCGCGCACCCCTCACACGCTTCGTGGCCCCACATAGACCTCCACCGGAGGATCCGAGGGGGGCGGGGGTACCTCATGCGGTCCCCAACATTTCCGCGCACTCCTCACACGTTTCGTGACCGATGGATGTAACATGTATGGAGGTCAGACGAGGCTCGGTTGCACAGTTCGCATGCGTCCCCAGGCCCATAGCGGTCGCCCCTCAAACGCTTCGCGGCCCCATATCCGCGGCGGGGATACATCACCACCGCCTGGAGGTTCGATTTTCGCAGACCTCGACAGGCAGTGGACCTGGGTATATTTCGGCCCCCACGGGCCAGCCAAAATATATCCATATCCACCGCCCGCTGGATCCCCAGGACGTCGAGTCCCAGGCGGTGGATATGGAAAAATACCCACCTCGCACTATAGGGAGCAACCTGATGTGGTTAGGTCCTTCGTCAGGACTCTTTGCTTCTATGCGCGTTCACCAAAAATGTCAGCGCCAGGTCTCCGAGTCCAGACAGTTTGGCGTCGTGGAAAGACACGCGTCGGCAGCTGGGGGTCTCGCTGAGCCTCGGGACCCTCAAAAAACGACCCGGAATGAAAAGCCAGCCTTGGGAAACGGATTTGGATTTCCGGGGACCGCGCATCATTTGAGTGTATTTGTAAGGGGTGGGGGTTGAACGCCCCCCCAGTGCGGGTCCAAACCCCGCCCCCCCCTGGTGCAAAAGAGAGGGAGTTGGAACAGCCACCAGCCCCTGGGGGGAAGGGGTCTGGACCCCCCCCATCCTCGCTGCTGGTAAACGACGACGGCAAGCACGGGCGCCATAACACGACGACGACGACATTTGCCGACGACGGCGACGAAAACGACCACGATGAAGACGACGACGACAGCACCGATCGACGATGACGACGACAGCAACGGACGACGAGATACGGACGATCGACGACGACGACCGACGACGGCGGACGACGGGAGTCGGACGACGAACGACGACGACGACGACGACGACGACGAGGACGGACGACGACGACGTCGACGGCGAACGACGACGACGCCAACGACGACGACCGCTAAGACGACGACAACGACGACGACGGCAACGGCAACGGCAACGGCGACGACGCGTCGACGACGACGTCGACGGACGACGGGCGACGGACGACGGACGATGGCGACGATGAAAAAGCGAACGGACGGCGACGACGACGACGATGGGAAACACCGATTGGTTTACTTGTGCAAGGTACATGGTGCTTCATAGTTTCCGTGTCCCGCCCGCCCGACCCGACCCGCCCGCTGGTGTCCGCCCGTCCGACGCAACCCGCCCGCTGGGGTCCGCCCGCCCGACCTGACCCGCCCGCTAGGGTCCGCCCACCCGACCCGTCCTGCACCGACCCGCGTGTTCGGGTTCGCCTGGCCGACCCGACCCGCTCGTGAGGTTTCGCCCGCCTAGCCCGACCCGCCACTAGGGTCCGTCCGCCCGACCAGGCACGTATGTCAGGGCTCTCGTGTGCCAAGTCGATTATGCGCCATAGTTTCATGTCCTGCCCGACCCGACTTGTCCCGCCAATTGGGGTCCGCCCGCCGAACGACGCGACTCGCCCAACCCGACCGTGAAGGTTTTCACGTGCCAGTTCGTTCACACATGATGCATCACATTTGAATGCCCCGACCGACCCGACTTGCACGGTAAGATCCGCCCGCCCGACCCGACCCGCCCGTTGGGGTCCGTCCGTCCGACGACCCGCCTTTCGCGTGATTGTCGTTGTCTTCGTTCGTCCCGTCGTCGTCGTCATCGACGTCGTCGTCGTCGTCGCTGCCGTCGTTGTCGTCGTCGGCCGTCGTCATCGCCTTTGTCCGTAATCAGTGGTCCGTCGCCGTCGTCGGTCGTCCGTCCGTCGTCGTCGTGTTCGTCCTCGTCCGGCGTCGTCGTATTCGTCGTCCGTCGTCATCGTGTGTCGTCCGTTGTTGTCGTCGTCGTCTGTCGTCTTCGTCGTCGCCGTCGTCGGCGTCGTCGTCGTCGATCGTCGTCCGTCGTTTGTCGTTCGTCGTTCGGTGTACTTCCTTGTCGTGGTCGTCGTCGTCGTTGTTCGTCGTCCGTGGTCCGTCGTCGTCGTTGTCGTGGTCTTTGGTTGGTCGTCCGTCGTCCGTCGTCATCTTTCGTCGTCGTGTTCGCCCTCGTCCAACGTCGTCGTATTCGT